GTCTGTCCGCCCGCCGGCGGAGTGAGCCCGGTTTATTCGTACATCTTGCTGGCCCTGCCGCAGTAAGCTTGGACTGCCGGCCGGAAAGGCAACGGGCGTGAATAAAGCGTGTCTTGTGTTAAAGAGGCGTTGGAAAGTGAAGTGCGGATTTGTTTCTGCTGTCTTGTGGTGGTAGCTCTTGATCCCGCTTACTCCTGGGGTTGCTGCGTGTGTTCTGCACGTCCTGGCTAGGGGCCTCTGCGGCCACAAGTCTGGCGTTAAGGCTCCTCGATGGAATTTAGTCTGTATGATCACTGCTCCCTTGCTGTAAGCCTGTACGGTTGAAACATCACCCCTGGGATTACTGTGATTCCACACAAGGTTTTGTTGGCTAGGAAAGTGCGGATTTACCTGGCATTTGTCAGTCTTTTTCCGCTAGCTACCCCGCGCTACCAGAGACTTCTCCCCTTGTCCTGGCTCTCGACCGCCTTGGGTTGCAGTTGCTGAGTGTTTTGGCTCTCTTGATTATCCAGAGGTAACAGGCCTTTATAAAGGTAAATGTGCCTTGTCCTGGGCAGAGTCTTCTGGGTCGCTTTTTAAATGCAGGACAAGTTTAAAATGAAAATAATAATCAGTTTATTCTAGTAAGTATGGAAATAACAGGCTTACAAATTGGGCAAAAAGCTACAAGTGAAGAGCACGTAAAATTATACCCAATATCAATTACTTATTCTGTGGTAGCCTAAAGGTGGTTTATGTCCTTATTTTTTTGTAGAATTGTATGCCTCTTTCATCAGCATTAGTATACTCCCCTTCCATTAAGTTACGTCAGGGTGAGGTTTGGTTTTTTTTCTCAAGTAGTGTGTGTATTGTGCTAGCATCTAGGTATCCTTGTCGGGATGGAGGGCTTGTTTCAGTCAGCACACAATGATTTGTTCTCACAAGAAAATGCTTATTTGAACTATTATGTTAAATGTGTGGGTGGTATTGAAGATCCTTCTTTGCACAATTTTTGAAAAATATTCTGAAATTGGCATTTTTTTCAAACTATACAACTTAATGACTTTTTTTGTTAATAATTTGCTGAAGATGGATTTTGTGTCACGGGGGAAATGTTCTTGGTTAATAAAAGCAGATGGGGACAGGGACTTGACCGGCAATTTCTCAGCAAGTGAAACACACCCACTGAGGTATTCAGTCTACTGTCTGTGAATACTTGTAAAGTTTATTTGATTAGCTCATACAGCATAGCGTAAATATAATACGCTTGCTCTTAGTCTGGAATAACAGAATAAGGACACTGTCGTGTTTCCGTCAGCACAGGTAGATCTGCCGGCAGGCCTTGCGGTCCCTGTTGCACAAGTATGTACCAGCAGGATCAGACGGTAACCTGACTGACTCGGCTTCTCGCTCTAGTCGAGACAGATGAACAGAGCTGGATCCGTGCTTGGCGGTTTGCGATACAGCAGTTTGAGCTGATGCTGATCGGTGTGTGTATTCCGTAGGTGACATTCCCGTACAAGCACATAGTAATCTAATTGTTTTTTTTTATTATGTATAAAATAATCATTCACAGAGTCTGATGTCCTCTTTAAGGTGTGTACTTGCTCACGAGTAATTTCGTCAGTGGGGTTACTGAGAGTGCAGACTTTGCTACACAGAATGAGCAACAGAAGGAAAAGATGCCTGCTTACATATTGACATAGCAACCAATTCTACTTTTTCACCATGTGTTGCAAGCACATAGCTCAATAATATGTTTTGATCTTAATGAGAGTATTTCCATAGCATTGAAAAAAAACTGTTTAATCCCACCAATGTTTATGTGTTTAGGAGTACTAACACATGCAAAAAGAGTATGGGTCACCTTTTAGATAAGGGGAAAATAATATTTCACCTTTCCAAAGGATTGATGGATGATTTTGTTTGTTTTAAATACAGTTCTGAGGGAAGCAATGAGACTGAAACTTCTGCGCCTTCAGACTAGTTCTTTCCACGCTTTAACAACAATATGCCAATGCCAAAGCTTTAATAAAACTGGACGTCCGCTATTAAAGCTGGATAATGAAGTTGACAGAACAGCTCACAGAACAGCAAAGTCTTGGAATTTGTATGCTCTGAAAACTGCTTTTCCTTCTTTGACAAGACGATGTGTGCAAATCAAGAATTGGCAATTGCTCCAAGGAAGTGTATCGGCTTTGGGAAAAAATGTTTGTTATCAGAGTGGGGAGGTTTTTTCCCCAGCCTGGAAATGTTTTGGTGCAGCAATGATGGAAAACTACAAGCTCAATACAGAACGTATTGAAAAGCTTAGGAACGTATCATCAAGATTTTACTCGGTTGTATCAGCTGGTAAAATTATTCCAAAACACAGTAACCAGCCAGTTAAGAGGCCACCGAAGGCACCAAGGACCAAGCAGCCATCCAGAACTAACCAGCCACTACTGTCAGACATGGAGGTAAAGTATAAAATTTACAGTCTGTATAACATTAAGGGAACTTCATCAGTTTAATTTAGATTCAGATTTGGGTTTAGATTAACATTTTAATGAAATCAACATGTTTATTTGGTGAGAAGGATTTCATTATTTACCCTAATGTGGCCACAAAGAGGTTGGAACTCTGCAAACAGAAACAAGCTTGATAGAAACTAGTGTGTCTGGTATTTTGAAGATAAAATGGAGATTTACTAGCAACGTGTAAACAAAAGTGGAGGGAAGATAAGTGATTATTAAAGCGGAAAGATGAAATCCATTAAAAATAATTTAACCAGTGCTCTCAAATCACATTTAATATTGAGAAACAAAATGTAGCTTTCAGAATAATTTAACTTTCCCTAGGTATCCTTGCTTGTCCAATTCTACCCAGTTCTAAGGCTTCACTCAAACAGAAATCAAGATGAAAGTAAATAGTATAAAGTTTATATTCAGCTTAAGTTTCAGATGGGAAACGGAGATGCAGATGTAGCCCGTGTTATTTGAGGAAGATTATTCCATGTGTAGAAATGGCACCTTGAGCTCCAGACTCCTAGGTCTACAGAGTAACTGCAGCAACAAACTGTTTTGGATAAAATGAGATGTGATTAAGTGGAATAGTGCATATTTGTGGCTGTTTCTCTTTAAGATAGTTTTTTGCAAGCCTGTATACTAGCCAAGGCAGACCTTAGGCATACTTGAATATAAGATCTCCAAGGAAGATCCTGGTGTCAGAAGTGTTACTGTTCTCCTCAAGCTACAACAACAACTGAGTTCCAGGGTATTGTTAATAAAATAGTATTATAGATGAGACTGAAACAAGTATTGTGCTTTCAGAAATATCTTCCACATAGCAAAATATGTCTATTACGTGATCTACTGAATGTGAGCACAGAAACTGAAGTTTTAATGCTTGCCTTCTCATCGTCTAAGCTTCTGTTTAATATTTTGTATGATGAGCAGGAGTATGCTTTAATGTAACATAAAGACTCTGATATAGACAATTTAGTTCCCACTTGTATTTTCCCGTTGCTTTGAAAAAGAAAGTGAAGAATATTAAGACCTGAAACACCCTGTAATGTTTCAAGCTTGTTATTCACGCTGTGACATTACATTCAGAGGTTGCTTCTTTTTATTGTTGCGTGAATTGAAGTGGCAATTTTTTTAGATTCTTGAGGCTTTTAAATCGCAGCATAGAATGCAAACAGTTTCTTTGTTTGACATTTTCATATATATTATGCAAGTAATGTGCACTGCTATTTTTACTTTCTTCCATTGTGAAGAAATCGAGAAAATCCTGCCTGATATACTGAAATAATAATATACTTTCTGAGGAAGCTTCCACATGGCAAAATGCTGTGCCAGAAATCACATAAACTCAGACCTAACAGAAACATTTGCTATTTTTGAATAAACCCCATGTGGTTTTGTCAGATACCTAGCCCCATCTACAGGGGTACAGACAGGCTGTCACCTTGACTGCAGGCTGACAGTACTTTGGAATAAGCATTTTTTTTACCTGTTTGTGTATTTCCTTACAGATATGTAGTGTAGAGAAATAACTTAAAGATCTGGCCAATTTCTGCAAGTTGTAGAGCAAATGGAGAATCCTTGAGGCGCTTTTTAAGCGCGCCATCAGTTTTCTCTAAATCCTGGTGCCACGAAAAAGCTGATCTTGCCTTCCTGTGCGTGTATGGAGGCAACCCAGAGCCCTCCCGTCACACAAGCCCTATTGCCAGGACAGTCACCTAGGGGTGACTGTCACCTAGGCTGCTGCGTCTTCTCTTTCCCGGTCTGCCCCTTGAAATGCAAGCTCTGGGCCCACTCTTAAGGTTCTCAGCTCCATGAACCCTGAAGATCTCTGGTGTTTTCTGTCTGGGAGGGCCTGACAGTTGACACCTGTCTTTTGCAGAACAGTCCATGAGTGAGGTCCTTCCCACCCCTCCCCAGCACTGGTCTTCATGTGTTGTTTACAGGCAGAGTGCTGAGCACCAGCAATGATAAATGGTCGTAAGACCAGTTTTTCAGGATAGATGGAGGAGTTACTTGAAAGCAGTTAACTGGTTTAGTCAGTCCATCAGTGAGTAGTACCACTACTCAGTTTAGTTAATCTCATAAGGTCTAATGGTATGAAAAGCCTCTGAACTGATTTTTAATACTATAGCCATGTAGTCTAGAAAAAGCTTGAAAATCAAGTACAGATGTAGTATTTACTATCCTTAAGATAAAGACTGATTCCTATGGTGATGTGAGGATTTAAGTTCTACCAGTTTTCTTTCTTAAAAATGTTTGTATGCTTAAAATGGAAGGGATGGGCTAAGGAGAATTATGGTTCCATGAGCCTGTGCAGTTGTTGGGGGTGTGATGATACGGAAAATGAGTTGTTGAGGTACTTAGGATGGCTACTCGGATAGCTGTTGTGGTGCTCTGGATAGAATCTCAATGAAGCCCCAGATGTAAGGAGAAAGGAGGAGGGTGGTGAGTAGCTGGAGTTTCTTTCTAGCACCAGTACAGATCTTGTATTCTGTTATTCTGAAGTTTGCAAGTGAAAAGTGACATAGCAGAAAGCACAGGATTAAGGTTGACCGGCCAGTTAACACGTCTATTTTAGGATTAGCTGAATCATTCATTAGAGTATAGACTTTTTGGCTCTATCTCCACCAGCTATCATGGGAGCTTAGACATTAAGAGTGCCTGTGGACACATATATTTTAGGTGTCTTAATCTCAAATCACATCCAATCCAAATGTTCCCCATAAACAAGATTTTAGTAAAAATTTAAGTGAAACAGTGCGCTGTAAAAAAACCAAACTAGTGCATATCCAAAATGCTATTTCAGGCATGTAGTCTTAGCAGTAAACTTCTGGTTCTAACTAAATGTGAAGTCTTTACGTTGAAACTAAAATTGCAGCAGTAAGACAGAAAGTCTGTCCTGTAGTACATCTGCCTTGAAATGAACAATAGCACAAGTAATAAGCTATGGGAAGCGTAGAGCAGGATGGAGATTTTCGGATTATATACTAGCCAGAAGGTAAGTTTGCTCCCTTAGCTCTTGTCGGAAGAGTTTCACGGGAGAGCATGTGTACTTCTAGTAACCAAAGCTTTCTGGAAGAATCTGAAATACATATTTGCATTGGCAGTTTAGAGACTGAGAATGGATTTACAAAGATGAAATTGTGATAATGCAACTTTTCAAAGGTACTGCGGCAAGGGAACTGAAAACACAATTCTGTTCCACTGTTAACTCAGCCTCGTAGCACAGTCATGGAAATATGCCTACAAAATTGCTCACTGAATATTGTAATTACTTTAAAGTTTATTTGCTGTTAGTGATCACTGAATTAAGATGATGTGTAAGCAAAGCTTTGGAAATGATAACAGAATGTTAACATTAAAAAAGAAAAGAAGGTTTAAATGTGTGGCCGTGATTCTGATGACTGGTAATGGGCCCCCCAAGGAGTAGAACACCTTTTTAAGCCTTGCTGTTTGATAGTGTATGAGTGCTGCGAGAATATAATTTGGATCTTAAGTTGAAGTGTATTGTGGGTATAAATGCTTGCAGATGAGTACAGTTCTTTTGTTCATTTGTTGTTAGTTACATCCCCATTTGTATTCGTTACAAAAAGCTGGGAAGGGACTGATCCACAATGAGACACATTGCTTTCTGGATATCTTCCACTACATTGTACTGAAAAAAATTATCATGGGACATACGTGGTATCAGAACAAAGAAATCCACTTAAAATGAGTAGTAGAGTTTGTAAATCTGTTTATTGTGACTTGTTTGATTAATCAAGAAAATCTTTACACAGATGACTTTCTGATTTCTTTGCCATGCATGAGTCAGTCTCATTGCAAGTCAGTATCATTCTTCCAGTCATTTGTTTCAATATGGCATTTTAGTTATTTATGATTGTGGAATATTGAGACAGACTCTGGCTGTTGCATACTGTTCGGCTGTGGTGTCGGTTGAGACCATCTTGTTAGTGGAAGGTTCAGCTCAGGGGGGACACTGTAGATGTGCAGCACCTACAACTGCCCCGGAAGATCTGTGACTTTCTGTGCTGCGGTGCTGCGATGGCTCGTACCCTGGGGGCTACCTGGCAGTGAGCTTTGTGCTGGGAAGAACGTGATGTTTGCAGTTGGAGCTTCCATTTGATAAGCAGGCTGGGATAGCTGAATTTCTTTTATCTTTAAAATATAGATCTTAAAGCTGATATTGGGGGTGTCTGTCTTTTCATTTCGGTGGTCAGCCGAGTATGTGATAAGCTGTAGGATGGGGGAGCAGTAGCAAGTGTAGCTCTACTGTTAAAGCATTTGATTGGCATTCAGGGAAGAAGGGTTCACTTTGTGGCTCTATCACAAAGTGTTTTGGTGCGACTTACTCATGTCACCTGGTTTGTTCTCAGTCTGTGATTTGCTTTCCCACTTAACAGGGAGCAAGTAATCTCATGAGTATTTGTATACCAGGTGGACAGCATGGCAATGATATTGTAGAAAGAGTGAATAAGTGAAAGATGTCACTCTCATGATAAATTTGAGGCAAACAATTGTCTTATGAACATCTTGCTTCAGCCTTTCCCTAACTCGAATCTTTATTCCTTTGGCACAGAATCTGATGCAGTGCACAGCCTTTGCAACAGCAGATGAATATCATCTTGGTAATCTGTGTCATGACCTGACTTCACATGGATATGTTGAAATAACAAGTTTGCCTAGAGGTAGATTTTTGAAACATATTAAAAGCAATGTTATACCTTGGGAAATGAAATATGGGTGAGATATGTAATTTTTATAACTCGTGTATTCTTATTCTGGTAATAGCCTGGAATATATCATGCTGCCTATAAAAATATTGCTTTGCTTAAAAAAAACACAACTAAACCTTTCAGAATAGCAATATAACCAGCACTTGCTGTTACCCGATGATAATTTTTCCCAAAGTTACAATTACACTAAAAATATTGAAAAATTAGATGCATGCAGGAAAAATAAATTTGGAAATTTTCTGATACAAAGAATTTCTATAGAAATTTGCTAACTGAAAAAATTCTGAAAGTTTTCTTTATTTTAATTAATCTTTCAGTAATGTGATACCATAGTGCTTCAGCTGTCAAAACAATTTTGTAATTTGAAGTGTTGCATCTTCTTTCCATACCCACACTTCTATTAATGTAAATCACTGAGGGTTGGAGAGGAAGGCATGCAAGAGAGAATCTTGCTGACTAAGTGAGATGAAGAAGATATACCCATAAATGCTTAGTTGTAGTAAAGAGAATGCAGTTCATACTTTTTTTAATTGGGCCAGATATATCCTAGCAATTGTTGAATGCTTCACTTAGGCTTCAGCAAAACAATTGGTTCTGGTTTCCATACAAAGTATCTCTGAAGTATGGGAAAGTATGGCTTGGAAATAGCTGAAGTATACTACAAGAGAAAAACAAATGGAGCTTTTTATAGCTGAAGGAACCTTATGCCCTAGAACAGCTGTGATCTTCATATGTTGGCAGTAGAATGCGCTTTTTTTTTTTTCTTTGAATGAACAGATTATATGAAGCTAAGAGAATGACAGATAGTGTTTATGGGCATTTCAGTAGAGGTTATCAAATATCTGGCTGCCTCTCAAACACTTAACAATCCAAGTGCAATAATACTCCAGTGGGTCTCTTTTAAACACAAGATTTACTAATGATCATCTTGCTCAAAAAGGTGAACATGGAAGGACAAGGTGCTGTAGAGTATAGGCTTCATGTTCATATGTAGTTTCTTTGTATTAAAACCAACACTGGTTTCACTGCTTCGGGATAGAAACTTTGTACAATCCCCAGCGTGACTGTGAATTACTGTAAGGCAAATGTTGCTGTTGCTGGTATTTTACCCTAGGAGTGTGGGTTTTGCCAGTTCTTTCATTTCTTCATAGTGTGTTTTTGACTCCTCACAATAGATACTCTGTTTATCAAAAGTTTGGAGGAAATAATGATGAAAGGATGTTGGATTGTGCCAGCGGATCTGATGTGTTGTGGTGGTTGGCTTGTGTGTCTAGCAGTAGTTGGTTACCAGCTCAAACATTCAATCTTGGAAAATTGAAAAATACTAGCACATAGAAATCTAAATCAGCAATTAGTGTGTGGATTTGTTGCTTTGTAGTGTTCTCCCTAAGCATTATTCTTGTTTTCGACCTCTTTAAAAACATTTTAGAGGCAGATCCTGTACCTACACTTACAATGAACCAAATTCTCTTCAATTGTGTATGTTTTGGCTGGAGTGGATAAATAAAGATAAGGGTGATATTTGAAAAGGCAAACGAGAAAATGCAGATGAATGTTTCTTCCATGGTGAACTCAAACTTCACACCCAAAACTTGCTCTAGTGATTCATCAAATCATGTATTTCTGAACTGGAATAGCAAGTGAAAGAAAAGTCTTTAAAGAGTTCATAGTGACCAACTGTGTGGTCTCAATTCAGGTATTAGCAAAAGTATATCTGATACTTAGTCATCTCTCTCTACTGCCTTAGTCTACCTGGCCTCTATAGCTTGAGCAGTAAAGCAGAGAGTGGAATTCGTACACAGGATGAATTTGATGCCTTGTCACTTGACTTGTGATCTTTCTGCAAAGGGGCTGACCTTTTTAAGGCTTAGGTGTTAGGCCCTGCAAATTCCTCTTTGCGGAATCTCACTTTATAATAAAGGTAGGGGGTTTTTCTGGTCTAGCTTCCACTACTTCTGCAACATGCTGGAAAGTAACCTTTTTTTGTCAAAACCACATCAGGACTTCTAAAACTTTGTCTACATTAGTGAGTAGTACAGTGGAGCAGAACTGTCGGGAAAAAACCAAAACCCTGCTTTGGGCACCCAGCATCCATATTTTGTAAGTTTTGAGGCATTCTGGTTACACTAGCTCAAGTCTGGTCCTTTGTAACAAATGCCCATTTGTGGTTGGGGTACCACAGATGCATTTTTGGAGCTCCTCTTTCAGTTTAATTTAATGCAAAAAAAATCCAGTTTGTGTACTCTGACATTGTTCTGCAATGCACATCACAAGTGTGGTAAATGACGGTGGCTGGAAGATTGGTTTCAAAAGCACGCTTCTGATCTGAAGGAGGATGCAGATGTACCTTCTCCTGTCCTAGGAGTATGCTCTTTCAAGTTTCTGACTATCAAAGCAAAGTCAGCAAAATTTGAGTGCAGATTAGTCCCTTACTGTTTAGAAAAGAGAAGGATCTTCTGGACAAGCAGATTTGAATGGTAATTTCTCTGCAACTGTGGGCAAACTCCCATAGTTCACTCACAGAATACTTCTGTATTCTGTTCCTGGTTATTTACTATGCCCTGCATCAGTTTTCCCTTAAGTCTTTTGTTCTTCAAAACTGTTACATTTTATTAACTAAAGATTCCAGTGAAGTTCAACATAGTGGCTGAGTCTGTCTAGAGCGGACATTTCAGAGAAGCAGTGTAGTTTGATACTGTAGTTGTTTCCTGGCAAGCATTTCCATCAGAAAAATAAAATATGGGACTGACTGACATGTTAGCATGTAACTGTTAAACTGGAATTGTATGCTTATAGCTATCATGTTTAGAAGTTTGCATAATTCTTCAATTTTTTCATTTATTTCAAACTAGATGCTGCAAACGTTTTGGTGATTGGTACTGAGAAATCTGCAAAAGAAGATGATCCTGGCATGATTTTTTTCTTCAGGTAAGTACAAATCATGCCCAAAACATTATTTTATTAATAGCAATGGTGTGAAAGAAGTAGTGTGGCTTGCTAGATCATTGCATCATATTACCTCATGAAACTCAAGGAATAACTGTCCAATCAAAGTATGGTTGAAAAGCAACTATTATGTAGTTTTTGTGAAGATAGTATTAAGTTTCTTGATTGACAATGACAAAAATTATCACCGTACAGTTTGAGTGTTGCATTGAAATACATTTAAAACAGTATAATTACACCTCGGTTTTTTCTTGAATTCACAGGGAAGGAGCTGTTGTGTTTTGGAATGTGGAAGAGAAAAGCGTGAGTAAAGCAAAACCGTTTGTTAAAAGGTCATAAGTGGATGTTTTGTCAGTCCTACAAAGCCCAGCATGCTTGGGCTTTGTTTGGGAGCTTGGATCTCTCCGTGAAGGAAAAGGACTGATTCTTCTCCTAATGAGTGCAGGTGCTTGCCTGCTGCTGCCCTCAAGTTTGTGGGTTGCTGATGTATCACCTTTGAAACTTGACTTTCTGCACAGAATGAGCAAGTATATGTGTAACATACAAAGTGGATAACATTTTCTACTTAAGGCCAAAAATCTTAAACCTTAATCTAGTGAGATTGACAAAAAGAAAATTCTTGGACCTCTACATCCTGAAGAAGTAAATCAGAAAGATCAACCTGTGAATGGTTGTTTGAAAGGCACTAGTGTAACAGAAAATGTTTTAGAAGAAAAGGATCATTCTAGAGCCATTTAAGTCAAAACTATTCAAAACTTACTTTTGGATAACTTTGAAAGAGCCGAAATTTGTAAGCAACTTTTTAGTATTGTTTTGTGTTTCTACCAGTTAGCAATTTTCCTGAAGGAAGATTTTTTTATGGTTGGTATAATTGTTAAAAAATATTGATATTGAAATCACATAGCCCTTATGATAATTTGGTGCTCTTTGCTGACCAAGAGGGGTATGCCACCAGGCATATCTATTTTTATGAATATATTTATATAGTTTTTTTTAATATATT